TTACTCCTGTCGACCATTCGGAGACCCTGATCGGACACTTCCAATATACAGCTTTGCGAGACGGGCGATTCTTGCGAGTTCCCGACGATTCTTCGAACTGCCTGACAGACGACACTGGTACCTTTGTGCGCCGAGGTCTCCACAGATCCCAAGTAACCTAGAAGATATCGTTCCCTCTTCACCTTCGGCGCCGAGGGATCGAAATCACTGTAATCCATGTCGACCGCGTAAGCCGAGGGGAAAATACCTTGACGACCTGTTCTCAGGTTCACACCTTCAATGCAAACACAAGTATATCATCGCGTATCAATTATTGTCGATAAAGTGATAATTATTGATTGTTCTTTATACTTAATGTTACACAATCGCAAGAAGAGTTTTTCTCGATCTTATTCGGAAACGATTATTATTCATGATAGAAAAGAATAGAAAAAAACAAACAAACAGATTAACTAAACAGGAGAGTTGAATGTTCGACTTCACACCTTCACACCACAGATCGTCAGCCTCTTTCTGAACGTAAATAGGATCGCCGATCTCAAGATCGATCTCGTCGTGGTGTCTTGGCACGAATTTATGCAACCCTCGATGCGTCGCTTCCAGCAACTCCAACTGAGTAAATGGCACGCCGCCGCTTCCTTCGACATAGGAACAAAAATACAGTGAGAATTATAATACAGTAAAATCACTGGATGGAAGTTGCGACGGTAATCCTATCAAATAAAGCTAACGAAGGGGGGCAATATTTGTTTCAGTTAGTACCTGGTGTACTGCTTGGCGAAACAGAGTCGGTGTTCTGCAACGTGTTGCAGGGGATCGGCGAGACGCTTTTCGGCCCATTTTCCGGCGAGTGGGCGGTAGAATGGCCACTGTCAGTAGCCATTCGCTCGCTGTCAGGTGAACTGTCCTCGTGGCGAAGCCTCGAGTGACATTTCCGTAAAACTAAATGCGGCCGGCTGGAACTAGAGCCAGTTGCTGCGTTCAATTCGTCTGCCAGAGACGACGACGACTGCATGGATGTCTGACCATTGGGCAGAGCTATAACCGAGAAGATATTCTATGAAACGAGTAATAAGTTTATTCGAGTAACTTGATACAACTTGGAACAGTAGCAACGGCCACCTTCTCCCGGGATGATCAGGTACTTCAAACCGTGTGAGTACAACATGTTCAACTTTCAGATGTAACAAACGACGACGGAGTATGAGACCATGATGCGTTCGACGCGTATCAGTACAAATGTACACCTGACGCACAGGTCTAGACAATAAGTCTCTGCCGTGTGCACGGATCTCGAGCAAGTGGCGTGATGTAAGTTAGACGTCATTATGGATTTTCTTTCGTTGCGGTTGCGGATGCGTGGTCATCGTCAGTGATCAGTGAATCGATCGAGAAACGCGCAAGATAAGGCTGACTCGCGGTACGTTGGATCGTATTACGCGCTTACGCGTAATAGTTCTTCTCCTCACTGACCTTTCATAGTAAAAAAAAAAAAAAAAAAAAA